TGGTAGTCGATCGACAGTCTGGATTGATAAAAAGGAGACGTGACCACTAGAACGAGCGTTTTATTTGCCTGCTGTTTCGGGTCCATGCTCATACCTATTGTCACAGGCAGAACTAGATAAAGGTAATGCTTTGTACAAGTGTTTCAGTATTTAAGGGCAGAGTAACATTACTGACAAATACAAGGGAGATTGAAGAGGCCATTTCTGGCTCATTAGCCGTCGTCAGCCAGTCATACTCCGCCCCGAAATGTGGAACATCTAGAGCTCGATCCTGCCACCGGCTGGTTAGAAGTCCAACGTCCCTAACCATTGCATTGCGATTGGATAATCTATACTGGTGTTTCTTAAGATTTTACTACCCAGAGAAGTAAATGTCTTTTTGCAGCTGCTAGTTATGTTCGATTGATTCCCCCCCCCCTGCACATGCGCTCCTCCAGTGCGCGTGCAATCATCCACGACTGAAGATCCTGAACATGGGTCGGGAAGACTCGCGTGGATGGCAGTATGCGTCAGACTTTGGGTAATTGTCTGTCAGTTCGGTTAACAAATTTTATTTCCCGTCACCCCTCGCGGTACGGGTCCATCGGCATGACCAAACCCATGAGACTGAGGAGAGTAGCAGTGAATAAACAACCCGGCATTGCCCAGTCTGTCACTGCGAATGCTTCAGAAACTACCCCATTGTCCGTGATGCGATCCATTATGTCAACATGGAGTTGTCGCACCATGAATTTAAACGTCCTCATGCATCTGAATTTCTGCACAGTTGTTCAGAGGCCCTAGCAGCTGGTTGCATCTTAGGCCATTTTCAAACCTACGAAAGCGATGCAGTACCTGATTCTTATCTTTTCCCTTGTAGTTAATGAGCAGCGAAGATTATATAGGTGGTCGCGCGGTCACTCCAAAACTCACAATGACTTTCAAAGAGAATTCCTTGCTCCAGATGAGTGTTCAGGCAAAAAATTCTACCTTCGATGTTGAGGGCGAAGAATCCTCTGTGGTTTTCTCAGAGTTAACCTTTTGTTTTGCGTTTGTTTGGGTGGACGATGGTGGCGTCCCTGAAGCCCTGAAGAATTTTCCCTTCCCTTCTTATCTCCCCGAATATCAACGTGAGTATTTCTAAGATGCAAGAATCGCCATACTTGTAGAGTTTATCTGCGACTGAGTCAGCGTCTGATGTTCTGTTGTTGGACATCTGGTATACAACTTTGATAGTTTCTTACAGCGATGGCGAACGGTTAAGGTCTATGCTAGTTTCTGCTTGAGGGAGTCTGCAGATAGCCTTGTCGGCTATTGCGGCTGCTCAATCGAGGAGACCTCTGCATTTCTTTGACTATCCCTCCACAATTTGCGATTTTCCGCCAAAGGGGATGTCCATCCGGAACTGTGCGGCGGTGCAGTTCTCTCGGATCGGGGGGCCGTAGGCCGTCTTTATGTACTTCAGGGTAGCACTGCTTACCCCCTTGCGGAGCAAGAAGTAGGAAAGGTACTTCAACCAAATGCTGAAAAACCACGCTATATTCAAGCATACTGTCGCTGGCAGATGTAACACTCGCGACCGAAAAGAACAACACACAAGAGCCTCGTCCCCGTTCCCTTCGATTTGCCCTGTCTATTGCAGGGCAACAGCGATCATCTCATGATCCTGCGCCCGCCTCTTCGAGAAGCGAACTTCATCATCATCATAATCGTTATTGTCTACGCCCCCCCCCTCAATGACCAGCCCTGACGAGAGGAAGAACAAATTCTTCGAGCAACTGCACGCCCTCCTGTCAACTGTGACGGAAGCGGATAAGCTGGTTGACCCTCAGGACTTCACTGCCCGCAGCATGACAGAACACGTTGTCTAGGAGGAAATGCTGGGTCCCCACGGACTCGGTTGCTGCAACGAAAATGGCCTCTTTTCTCGGCGAACCTGCGCCGCAAACCGTCCCTTGCTGATCAGCATCTTTTTGACGCATTTCAACGCAGGAGGTGGCAAAATGGACGTATCCCCTGATAGCGACGCTGAAAGCTGCTGGACTACGCTCATGTCCGGAGGCGAGACTAACAGGATATGCCGGCGACTTTCGACGCCGATGGCTGAACTGATCACCTTCTCGTCATATCCGAGATGGAGTACCGACAACAAACTTGCAGGAGACCACAAGGTGAATGCTCACCAGGAAAGTAAAATAATGTTCAGACTTTAATACAATTGTGGAAAACTCGGTGCCTCGGTGGGATTCGAACCCAGGACAACAAGGGGAGGCTTCAGTGCCGCCAATGCTCTAGCCACCTGAGCCAAGAAGCCCCACCGGACGACGCGAGTTTAATCACATTGGGGTCTAGTTTACCCGCCTAATCTACTACAACGTCTGAATCACACCGAGGCACCGAGCTGTTCACAGTCAGGTCAAAGTGAATCATTCGAAATCTGCCATAACACCTATGAATTACGTGAGCCTGGCAGTCGCCTGGGGGATTCTAGATGTATTACTTAAAAAATCCTACTTGGGCAGTCAGCTTACTGGATCAGATTTGGTGGCTGTAGACGTTGCTGTAGGTTGGGCGGGTAAAGTTGACACAAATGTGGTTAAACTCGCGCCGTCCGATGGGGCTAGAGCGTTGACGGCACTAAAGCCTCCTCTTGCAGTCGCGGGTTCGAATCCCACCGAGGCACCGGGTTTTTTTACGATTGGGTCCAAGATAATTATTTGAAATCTGCCGTAACACCTTTGAAATACTGTTTTGTTGAATTTATTCGCTGACTACTTGGATTTCAGCAGTCCACTGTACCAACACCTGAATACTTGCAGGCTGCTGATGACGCCACCAGCGTGGAGATACAACAGTATTAGCTGCAAGATACCATCAAGTCCACCGTCAGGGACGCCCTCGGTCACGCACCTAGTCAACAACGAGACTGGTTTGACAACAGTTACCAAGATACCCGAAATCTGCTCTCCGGTAAGAATAGGTTGCACAAAACCCGCATCAGCCGCCGAACCAACGCCAACAAATCTGTCTCCTTCCGCGCTCAACGTCTGATACCATGGAGACTGCGAGAGATGCGGAATTCCTGGATGGACCGCATAGCGGAAGAAGTACGAAAATATGCGAACCGAACAGATATGGAAAATTTCTTCGCCGCCAGCAAGAAGGTCTACTGCCCCGCACCAAATGAAACGTTGCTCAGCTCCCTAGGGCGATTAATACTTCTGAGTTCTGGTTTGAGCTATTTCGAAACATCCTCAATCGACAGTCTTCAATCTCCGAAATTGGCACCAACGGTTCTCTCATGTGGAAGTCAGCACCAATCTCAACCACCCACTCTCAATGCCAGAGACCATCACGGTCGTACACCAGATGACTAACGGCAGGGCGTCTGGAGCTGAAGCAATTCCGGTCTAATGCTACGAGTATGACGACCGACGGCTGGTGGACAAACTCAGGAAGAGGGAGCGGGAGGGCAAGAACAAGTCCCTTGGGATTTAAATTAGGCAACCACTGTTCACATCTAGAAGTGCACTGAAAATTGACAATTCTGTTATCGAAGAGGAATGTCGCTGAACTTTTCCGGGGATATCATTTCTCTAGTCCTCGTCAACCTTCTGAAAGTGCACTTGGGACATGGACTTATCCATGAAAAGCCGTACTGATTCTGACAACGCCGCATAGCCAGCTGCATAGTTCCCACCGCCCACCAACTGAAGGATAAATTTCAGGATCTGTGATCTACACTGTATCTGTGGACCTAACAGAGGCCTGCGATAATAAATAATGATGGACCCTGAATTTTCGATGTCCGGAACGATGCATTCAGCTGGTAGGCCAACTTCACGACGGGATGGTGGCGAGCATCGTGGACAACAGAGCAGTCTTGGAAGCCCTGCGGAACGCTCCCACGCACTTCAGTCTCATTTTATCTGTCATGCTGATGAAGACTTACCGTAAACAGCAATCAAGAACCAACATTACCTACTGGCTCAACAGGCACGGCTTTTAGCGCACCATGATAGCTTAAGAGTACGTTGTATTGTTTGTAGTAAGGAATATGCGTCCAGTGCCATGGAGACGGAGTCGCAGAGTCGAGCACACTTTCTCTTTACTATTAAAGGCCCCAGTTCACTGACAGAACCGGTCAGTCATCTGATGCGGGGATTGAGCGCAAGTGGTTGACATGGCTAAACATTCCGTTTGCGCGTGCTACTCAAGCGACCTGGTTCGCCACACAATCCACCAAGTTTTCACCCGAAGAGGAGGCTTAGTCGAATTTTACGTGGTTAGAGTGTCAGAGAGACCAGACGGAGGAGACAAAGAACACATTTCCCACTTGCATGAAGGGTATTTATTTCGTCCCTGTAATGGGTGACGTGAGTCGGGTTCGTATGTGATGCATTAACTATCAGGGAAATGTGTGACGACAGAGTTTGGTCCTCGGTGATTTACCGCAGATTTACATGGTAGCGAATGTAGCTGTGTGGGCTCATGCGGTGGCTGAGTATGCGTGGTCAGTGCGTGCAGATGAGGCGAGGGTGACCGGTGTGTGTTGGTATTCCTGGCATTGGTCCACCAGTCCCTGTGAAATCGATTAGCAAGTGACCTGTCAGGCCGAAGTGTGACGTGAAGGTAAGACAGTGATTTGGACATGTTAGGATCGAGTCCTCATTGCTGGTGATGGGGATGGTAGTAGTGGTCCTGGTGACGACAGGGGGACGTCAAGAGTGTCCTTATTGGTAGTATAAGTTGAATAAGTGATAGTCATCGCCAATGAAAGTGTAGCAATGATGATGGTGTGGTGGGCTGGGGCAGCGGCAGGCATCGGGAGTGTTCCCACGAGGGGTGAAGATGGCGATGGTAGTTGCCATGGGGTTTGCGGCAGGTGTGCTGCTAGAGGTGTTTGAGGAGCTAGCAGGCGGAGGTGACAAGTCGTTATCGCATTTAGATGGTAGAAGGAGCTACCCAAAAGAATCTTGATGGATAATCACCACGGGTATTCGTCGATAGGGAGGACAAATATGGCACTACAAGGACACTTTAAGGGACTTCCGAACCAGCGTCAGATTAGTCCGGGGACCTGGGAGAACGGCGCCCGGTACAGACGAGCCTGGAAAAGAGAAGCAATAACCGGCGCAGCCATCTACGAAGCCAATCTCGTCACCTCTGCCAAAGCTAAAATGAAGGCTTGCAACTCACAAGTGCCTCACCTCCTCACCGCTAACCATCCGCAATTCTCAACATTCCCACACTACCAACGCGTATTCCGCGCTCGGATCTGTCTCATAGAACACTTTCGGACCCCATATGCCAAAAACCTGACATCTACTTCCCTCACTTTCAACCCTGTCGCAAACCCCTTGCCGAATTCCACTCTAATCACCGCCAAACACACTGTCGCTGTCCCGCCGCCATCAACCAGCGACAACATCCGCCCTGGTGCTGGTGCTGGTTGGTGCACGATCACTGTTTTTTCTGTGCTGATGGTCAGCCCGAAGTTTGCGCAGCCGGAGGCGAAGAGATCCGTGCTTCTTTGCATGACTGTTTCTGTTTTGGCGCTGAGGATATCGATATGTGATGGGTTGGAAAATGACAATTTCCAAATCAAGCTTTACGGAGGCGAAATAGAGTGCAGGCAAGCGGTTATATCCAGTCGTCTCCCCAATCATTTCTGTCAGTGTCCGCCGTTGGGGGTTCTTAACCCCCAGCGCGTGTATGCGCATCGGCTCTGCCTGGGCTGTGTCTGTGTGCATCCAATCAACAAAGGAGCAGCGTTGACTGAATGTTGCCGAGTCTCGGGCAGCTCTGGTAATAAAACGAATGGGGGCGTGGAACAGACGCGCCACCGTCCCGCCGTGGGACTGATGTACTGTGCCTAAATTATGCAGGACAACCGGATTTCTGCATGGTTTTCCAGAGTCCATTGCAATTAACCGTCTCGAGGGCTTTCGTCAAGTCCATGAAGGTATTTTGGAAGTTGCGTCGCAGTTTCTAAAACTTCTCCTGCATTTAGTGGACGGCAGAGATCATGTTAGTGCTGCCGCAGTGTCGTCAGATTTACCATAGGGAGGGATATATGCTGATGTACCGTGGGGATGGAGCCTCCAGAGTCGACCTCGTTTTCTTTTCCGTCTCCGTACACCAGACGACTGTCCAAGCTTGTCAGCTATCTGATGAGTGGATTAAGAGCAAGCGACTAACGCGACAATAGTCCGCGTTTAGGCATGTCACCCCTCCTCCCATGTATGGCATTTATTATCGGTTCGCAGACCGACTAACGTGTGTGTGCCCTTGTATAGCTCCGGAGTTGGTTTGGCGCATGCCCCGGGTGGTCGGTTGTGAGGGCAAAACATACACACGGGCTGACTGCGAGGTCCTAATTATACCGTTTGTTGGTAACCCTCCAGTCCACGACTCTTAATGCGTCCTGTTAGAATAAAATACACCAGATTTATTATATTGAGGAATGTGGTGAAGTATCGGGTGGAATGAAAACCCCAGAGTCGACCTCGTTTTCTCTCTTCCCTCTTCCGTGCACCAAACGACTGTCCGAGCTCTCAGAATTTGGTGATGTTATTAGACGCGGCGGTTGACAGTCCTGTAGGACATTGCTACATTTACCACACATGACCCAATTGGGCACCGGTCCGCACCAAATTGCATGCTTACACTGATATGAGAGGTGGATATTATCCATAGGTTTGTGTTGGTGTATGGGCTGGTAAGGTGAGATGTGGCTGATGAGGTTTGATTTACGGAATTTTATCATAGATTTACTTGGAGAAGCGTATGGGCGAGTAGGTCCATGCGGTGAACAAGTTTGCGTGGGCACTGTTGACAGTTGAGTCGGTTGCAGCAGGTGTATGTTGGTGCTCCTTGCCCCGGTTCGCCAGTTTCAGTACGATGGACTCACATGTGACCGTTCGGGGCAATGTGCTTTTCTAGTGGGCGGCGACAAAGCGGCTGGATTAGTGTGTAGACACTGGGCTGGTGACGATTGCAGGGATGGTAACGGGGGAGTTTTCGGACGTGCGAGGACTGCAACCTTCCAATTCGCAACTTTTTGCGCGTCATGATAGACTCATGCGTGTCCGATTTATTATGGTGTCGAATGCGTTGAGTTACCGCGGGTCCGAGTCGGCCAATCATTTGAAGAGTAAACTGGGCGCAGTGGCTGAGCGAACTAGACAGCCCGTCTACGTGCGCCGCAGACGACCTAGTCGCCGTCTCATGCATCAGGATGCACCAAAGTACATGTTTCCCGCAAGCGCATGTTTTGAGATATGACGTTTTGCTGGCTATACCCGCAACTGCAAAGCCGGTCAAAGTCTTACTGGCAGAAAGAGGTATGATTGTCATAGGGTGTGGCGGGTGGTGCGGAGGATGTTCGTATGTCAATGGTAGTGAAATCGCGATTCCCAGGCGACATGTCAAAAGAAAAAGATGCGTTTACCGGGAGATATTTATAGGTCTCATGTTTTGAGTAGTTATTTCGTCCATCCATCATTGGAGACTAGAAAGTCACGTGCACAGATCTCTCATTATGTGGCTCACCTCGTTTGATGCCTAGCCAGCCAATGCCGCCTGTGTGTCTGCATCCGACCCGCATTTCATCGCGTCTTGTGTCACTCCCGACCCCACTGACCGCAGAGAAAGTTGGCGGTCCTGATTGTTCTTCGCCGTGACTGTCGCCAGTAAAGAGTGTTCGCAAAACCAAATAGGTGGAGGCAAATTAATGTGGCTGTTGACGGAGTAGTTCGTGGACATTCAGGCTGCTTGCACCTGTTCTGCTGTATGATCATCGCCTCGGCCCACAAGCCTAATGGCATCAAAATTGCGTGGCTTGGGTTGCCACCGTCTTTGGGTTCAACCTTCACACGGCCAAATGATGCTTGTACATTCGCGTTTGTGGCCGTCAGCCGGTTTCCCTCAGCGAAGTTGCACATCCCGCAGCTGCACTTAAGTCGGTGGACAACGGCCGACATCTCTTGTTTAGGGACAGGGTTTTTTGACCGCCTCGCTTGCCGGCGGATTGTTGAATTAGGCCCGTGGACAACTCCGATCTGGAGTGGCGCGAGGGATCTAGCCAAAGCTTCTGAGACTCCCTTCATGTATGGAATGCTCCCTTTCAACTTTGGCTGATTTTACTTTTCAGGGGTTGGATATGACTGGCTGACGTCGGCTAATGGGCCAGAAATGGCCATTTCAGTCTCCCTTGTCTTTTCGGTAATGCTATTCTGCGTATACCATGCGCCGCTGTGTGGCTGCTGTTTGGGCTCGAGAAAGAGCCCGTGAGGCACATCGGAACGAATGAGTTTCGTAAAAAAGATCGGTGATCGCCCCTCGATTACAGTTTCATATGTGTTGCAGTGGGTGGTTACTGTTGTGACTGAGCATTTTCAGTGTGTTCGTCGGTCTTCTGTTGACAGCCGTCACCAGTTTTACATCTGGTTGGCGGCAGGTAATAAAATCTAAGGGTGGAATTTTGTCCTCTGTTTCTTCTTTAATCGTGAACTGTGGGTCGGAAATGATCGAGTTCATTTGTTCCCCAAAGTACTTGATTTTATTCCAGCGGATTATTACGAAGATGCCGTTAACGCATCGCGCGAAAAACGTGGGTTTATACTCCTCAAACAGTCACCTGTCGAGTTTTTGCAGATTCGCCACGGCAATAAGTCCGAAGATTGGTGAACCCGACGGAGTGCCCTTAACTAACTGATACGTGATCCCTTCAAAGGCAAATAATGTTTTGAGGAAGTGCTCCGTGCCTTCTGTGTGATCCTGAGCTGTGGGCTGACTATCACTCTCATCGTGAGTTTGAAGTATCTGGTCACTGAGCTTTTCGACCGCAAGGGTCTGCGGTATGAACGTGAAGTGTGAAATGGCGTTAAATGGCACCATCCTTTCAGTCGGTTCGATTGTAACTGCCCTTACTTTGTCAAGAAGTTGCTCTGCTGAGTGCACTGTTGTTTGTGAGTCGCGGTGAGGAACATCAGCTTCTGAAATAGCCAGTTTGCAAGCCCGTATGTGGGTGTGCCTCAAAATGAGACGATTGGTTGGAGGAGAACATCTGGCTTATGTACTTTTGGAAGTCCGTAGAATTGCGCCACAGCTGTTTCTGTGGGCTTTTCCATATACAAATCTTTGATTGTGGTATTCATGCGGTTCTTTACTAGAGTTGGAGTCCTGTTAACCTTTGGCAGTAGTGACTTTAGACTGGCGACATCGCTGACTTTCTAAGACCTTCGATCATTAAGTAGCATGAAGACTTTGTTTCGGCAGTGTACATTTGTCAGCAGACATGATAACCATTTCGGTGCCCGTTTTTAACTCCCTTAGACACTTCTGTTCGTCTCTTGGCAGCGAATGAGTTCTTCGGTGCGACAGGAGCAGCGAGGAGATTTGATGTCGAAGGAGGTCCTTCGCAGCCTGCAGCGCCGGCTTGCCGTATCATTGATTCGACAGCTGCAATGAAGGTGACCGGGCCAGCGTTAGGATGATATCAGTGTCCTCACTGGTGCAGTTAATGATGGCGGTAATGGCTGTGTATCGTGAGATTAGATGCGGTCGAGTAGCGTTGGGATTGCACTTAGTCCGCAAATGTTCAACGAAACTGATCTATGATTGCAACGACTGTTGACAGTTTGGACACGAGGGCTGGATTTTGGCGCTTGCCTCATTCGTCCACGGCACTTAAATCTTGCCCGTCTATCGAAGATGCCATAGTCAACGACTTCAAACTTACCAACTCAGAAAGCCGGGAAAACGGTTGGATGAACAAGTTTTACCGGGGCGATGTAGCTGAGCAACAGCAGCTGCCAGAGCTCTTACTAGGCAAGGCTGTATGGCGCCGAGGTTATTGGGCGCCGGCGTCTTTGTCTGAGCCATGTCCGCCTGCGGCCGATCAGCGAAGGACGCAACGTTATTGGCCTCGATATTTCACAAGCTGGCGTCGAGTAGTAAATGGCTCCGGTGGAGAATTGTCAGGGAGCGTGAGTCGGACAGGAAGGCGACATCAGTAAGTGCGGGGTTGGCGATCGTGGAAGCAGGCTGCCACGGGTCTCCCTCTTTGACTTGGCAGCAGTTATTCGGTTGACTTCGAAGAGGACTGCTCCAGCCTTTACGGCATTGCGTCATTCCAGTAGATTTTGAGCAGGGTCCTCCCAACTCTTCGGGTTGGCTTTCAGGAGAATGAGGAAAGTCTTCAAGATGTTAATAAAGCAACACTTTTGTTTGCCTTGTCTGAGATAATCCGTAGCCGCTTTGGCAGGCGTCAGCACGGTGCCAATACCGAGGACGTCGTTTCTTTCCAGGATCGCATTGTCGGGAATCCTCTTTTTCAACTTTACCTTCAGCATTCCTTGGAGACACCTGAGCTGAAAATGGTTGTTTCTCATTGTTCGGTCGTTATAAACACTCCAGATCCGTCCTGTCCAATAGAATTGCCCGGAAAACAACCATGTAATCTTCAGTTTTATGTTGAGCAAGATACTATGACGGTTTTAGACGGATACCTTTAGTCGGCCATAAGCCTAGATGGTTTTGAAATCCAACTTGCACTGTCATCCTGGACGCTGATGTCCCATAAAGCTGTCCTCCCCAGGTAAGTCAATTTCCACACTACTGCGAGATGAGCTTCATATACTTGAAAACGGGACTCTTCATAGTATTCATTTGGCATCGATTGGTGCAGGCCCACTATATTTTCATGGTGATGGTCAGTGAAAAGTTGGAGTAACCGGAAACGAAGACATCCACCTTCTTTTGCATACTCTTTTCTGCCGCGGTACCAACCAGGCAGTCGTCCCTGAGGAGCACATACTGAACAGAAATCCTGGAGAGTCGCATTAGGGCCTACATGCATCGAGTATTCGGAAGCCGACTTTGTGTTATGTATATGACAGTTCGTGAAACAATTGCATGAGGATACTTTTTTCTCATATCCTTGAATTCTGCCTAAGATAAAGACAAAGGGTTTTGGCAATTATTTGTAGGAAGTCGCAATAAAGCCTCTTTAATATACAACTTATTATAGGGTTTGTTGGGCTGGTTGGAAACCAATTCCTCATACACACTCCCTATGGAGGCACAGATATTCATGTAACCACTTTTTACCTTCGATAAATCAATGAGATATGCACAAGTCCTCATCTAGGGGCAGGTTATATCAAGGGTCCTATTTGACTCGCCTGACCTTTCAATAACGGTTATATTTTGATGCTTCAATGTCCATTAATTATGCATGAAGCCGCCTCTAGCGTCGCGCTGGAAATAACCAGAGCCGCAACTTGTTCAGCGAATGTTTCCGAAAAGTAACGAACTTCTCCGTTACGTGATACGAGGCGAAGTGGATGATAGGTGTTCTCCTTTTTGCATAAATTCTCCTCCTGTTCAGATGCGCGGTGGCTATTTTCGATATTTCAAAGAACAACCAAAGTAATGCAAATGCTCATTAACAATGAAGTAAAAATATTTTCCTTGTTGGGTATGTTCTTCTCAACCATCCTCATAGCGCTAGCTGACACAATGTTACTTGTTTTAAATTAAATTAGGCTACTGGAGTATCGAAGAAGGAGGTAAATCATTATTTTTTATGTTACCCCTCCCACAAAATGTGTGTACAATTTAATGATACTTTCAACGCATCTTATTTTCCAACATTACTCACTTGCTTTTAGAATAAAGGTGTCACAAGAGGAAACGGTCGATTGTTTCGGAAATATTTCCTAAATTTTTGCGTTCTTCAGATGTTTCGGGTGTGCTTAACTAACGAGAGAATTTTGTAGCCTAGGGGCTAATCTAATCTTGCACAGGAGAAAATCAAATACCAGGAAAGCGGTCGGTTCCTCATTTAAAATGCAATTTGACAATGAGTCTAGGAGCACGATGCCAAAACTTTGCATGCGTTATGACGCTGGGGTCAACTATGCAGGTGGTCAAACGTCACGCTGCTCTGAAAGAAACGTTTTAGACAGATAGCGCCCTCATCTACATTTTAATTTCCTAAGACTACTTTAGAACCTTATGCCTATTATCAGTCCGACCTACTTTATTGTTGCAAGTAGCCAAAGTGCACTCGATGTTCAAAATGGAGGACGGGTTTTTTGCGAACGCAGATCGGGAGAACACCACACATCAATTTCGGTTCAGCCGTTTTTATTCAGTGATCTTCTAGTAAATTTAACATTTGCCTAGCCCTTCCGACTAAGAATGTATCAATGTTGCAGGGGATGAAGTTGAATCTGCTCTAGTCAAATTCGACATCGACTTCATTTTAACGCAACTTAAGTCGAGTTATTTGCTGCAAACGTTTTTATCCTAAAATCAGTTTATGTTTAGGTTATGCGTGTCTAAAATTGCCGACGTCATCTTTAACTTCTAGTTTTTGTAATTACTTTACAATGCAAACCAGTTACTTCTCTAGAAGTCACCAGCCATTGTAAACCATTGCATCGGCATTTCAAAAGATTTTGACCTGATTAGTATGAGAAAACCTTATAGCTGCATGTACTTTTCGTTCGCCATTGTTGCAATGTTTCCATTCATACGAATGATCTCGCTATTTATGAAAAAAGCCTGAATTAGCCCAGATTCTCGTCGCTGCCGGAGTGAAAACACGTGACTCTTCATGTCTTTTAATCAAGTGTATTGAGCTCTAATCAGAATTTACGCATTTGCAAATCACGCTTACCTAACCTTATGTCTGAAGGCAACGGAAATCACATGTCTAAGCTTCCTCTTAAGATTATGGCTCGACTTTTTTCTTATTAAAAACCATACCCCTAGGACTAAAGATAATAGACTTCATCGCCGCTCGTAACAAGCAGATTTGCAGAATAATCTGCAGAACATCTGCCTCATGGCTATTTTTCCGTGATTATCTCAATATTTCAGAATGACTTGTTCCCAGCACAAATTTATCCAAACCGAAAAGCGACAAATGACAGTTTGACCGTCGATTCCGACGATGTCCGCTGCGTGCTCAACAGCAAACTGGTCACAAGGAGGATACCTTGCGCGTACACTAATTTATGGTGTTAGTAGGCTTGCCCCGCATCTGCCGCGCTCTCTCCTTCTCTTTCACCTGGGCCCTGTGTCGTGATAGAATCAAGACCGTAGGTGGGAGAGAGGTTGGTGCAGGTGCGCGAGTCACCATGCCTGTTTCACGTTGCTGTGGAGCGCACGGTGGCCATCGTCGGTGTCGAAGATCGAACTGTCACACTGAGATTGAGCCACTGCAGTCCGACTCTCATTTCACCAATCGACCACTCCACACGAAGACACAGTGAGCTGACTGCGGGGTCCGAGCTGAGTCGTTAGTTGGCCTATTCCAAAACGTGGCTTTTGACGCACTCTGGTAGTCTAAAGAGCGTCAGACTGGTTGTTGTGGAATATAGCTGAAAGTCAACCTCACTCTTACTCTTTCCTGTTTCGTACAGTCGCCGATTTTCCGCGCCTATCAATCAGCTGGAGCCGAATTTAGGAGGAGTGACCGTCAGAGGTAGAAACTATGCGTCTGCGCGTGCCACAATTACGACCGGCCCCCACACAAGACACCAAGTTTTCACACTAAGTGGGAAGACTGCTCGGATCTCACTTGTAGCAGGGGAGCCACTCAGAAAATTAGCACGGGCGAAAGCGCAACACTGGTAACCATTTTAGTGCCCATCAGATCGGCTGTCAGTATGAACGAGTGATATTGAGCGGGTTCTCTGACAACTGCTAATAAGTGCTTTTTCAGTGCCTTGTTTACTAGATCCTCGTGAATGAAATAAACGCATGTTGTAAAAGAACCTAAAGTGCCAGATTTCTTTAAGCTGTGATCTAGTGAAAACTGGAACTTCTGCTTCTGAAGACGAAATTAGCTTAAAATCATCATGTCTGGACGGGGCTCGCTCTGCTTTCCTGACTGAAAAAGGAAATGGGCGCTTCGATTTTATCATGGCGACGGTAAATCTCCCATTGTAAAGTGCTACACACAAAGATGAAGAACACGGTTTGCAATTCATCATCCATTAGCCGTTGCCAGCCATTTATATCTTAATCTCAGGCGCTGCATTTGCCAGTCATTGAACATTCACATTTATCTTTTAACCATTTGGATAGAGAAATTTTCTCACCCTAAATGTGTTAATATGGTGGTAGTAGTTCAGCGAGTAAACGCTCAGCTATTTAAAAATCAAATAACCCTCAAATAATAATCTGATTTTCATCTATGGTGTGGAAATTCTATTTTTATAGAGAGCTTGTTGGTAAACTTTGTCTATAATGTTTTGGATGCCATTAGTTTAACGTACTAATTTGCATGACGGTTTACTTTTCCCATATTCAGTGAGTCGTTCCCCACGGCACCACAGTGAACCAACATTATTATCTGCAAGTGCTGAGGGGATTGCATGACGCAGTGAACAAAAGCGATCAGAACTCTGCCTCATTATGAGAACGCGTCTGCCCACACAGCATTCAAAACGAACCATTTTTGGCAAAAAACGGCATGACATCGGTCTGTCATCCTCCTTACTCGTCAGATCTAGTCCCTTGAGACTTTTTTTCTCAAGAATGAAGAGACATCTAAAAAAGCGTTTTCAGAACATAGAAGAGGTTGCAAAATCATTGAAGGCACATAATCGTATTAGTTCAGAAGATTATAAAGTGTTTCGAACAGCGGAAGCCCGGTGGGACAAGTGTATATCACCCAATGAACAGTGTTTTGAGGGAAATTAATGATTCTAAGATGTTACCTTAAGTATAAAATTTAAATAAATAGTTCCTATTATTCGGGTACCTCTCGTGTTTTTGGACGGTCACAGACAGAGCCCTTGATGACCCTGTAAATATACAGTTAATTTACATATTTACTGCCAGTGTAAATTTCGAGCATTTAATATTGTGTTCGAGTCAATATACAACACAGTTAAAAATGATTGTTGCGGTTTAATGAGAATCACTATGGAAGAAGGGTGGAGCACGATGCTGACTACAAGTACTCGCACTGTGAAAAACGCGTTTAGTCTAAAATATGCAAACACGCTTCCTTTAAAAATCACATATGGCATCGGCAGTTACCATCTCATTAGACAGCGAGTTGCATGATCCGATTACCCGCTGGCTTCTGATCTTGTACGGATTACTCCGTAGCTGGGTCGTGCGTGCAAACTCAAAAAGTTTCTCCAGCCTTAGCGAACAACCATGGCCATGGACAATTCGGAATTGCCACAGCAGGCTACACAACAAATTCCTGTTAGGTAGAGAACATGAATTAAGCTCTTTCAATCCGTCCTGGTATGCTAAATCATTAAGACCATCGAACATTTGTGTTGCCTTGCGATTCCCCTGTGAGAGAAGATCAATATCTTCTTTCTTTTAAGGTGTTTAGGCTAGCATTCCGTATTCCAAGTGGGGTTTCATGCGGACGCTGAAGGCTCTTTCGAGGAGTTCAGGAAAAAGATTTTTTAAAAACACGTCTTATTCAGTGCAGTGTGCTAGCTGTCTTCTGAAATACGTTCCTATAATGTTCTGACTGCATCAAGCTCGCGCTCGTCCACATGGCCGGACCTCTGTGCGTTTCCAAATCCTTGAATGTAGTGACGTTTATAAAATACTGGTGTTTTTTGAGGCTTTTCGGCCGGCGCTAGGGTTTTAGACTACACATTTGGATACATCCAGCTTAAAAAGTCACCTGTTGGACCACTAGGTTTGTCAAAGTCAACTTTGACCTTCAGCATAGTTCACTTTGGCCAATAATTTTAGAGCTTCGGCGAACATGACAACTTCACAATTCAATCCCTGGTGCAGTCATTTATATAGATCAGAAGACTAGGGGGCCTAAAACAGAACACTGCGTGACACCATTTTCAATCTTTGCCCATTTCGAGGTAGCATTGCCAAAACTCTGGACTCCAGAGGAAAGGTAGCATTCGATCCTTTTGAACGTTTTCCTCAAAGCCTTGCTCCTCAAATCTTCTGCAAATGAAGTCGGTATGGTAATCTATCGAAGACCTTCCCGAAGTCCTAGAATGCAGCATCTGTTGGCTTCTTCTCGTTTGCAGCCTTCATATATTCACATGGGAGCATAAAAATTGTGGTAAAGCAAGATGGTCCTCAACGCAAGTCACGCTGGGTTATTTGTCTTTAGATAGTGCACTAGATGTCGCTTTATTATGCGCTCTATTATTTCTCAGGCGACTAGACGGTAATTTTCGGTGTCTAACCTTGATTTTTGCTGAAAAGTTTAAAGTTATACTTCAAAATAAAGCAATTTCCTCTCCCTCCCTCTCTTCCCCTCTCCCTTTTAGACAGGGCTGATACGTGCACTTTTCCATTACACCTGGAGTCTACCTTCTTCGAAAAACTTCTGAAATTGAAAGAGACGGTGGTTCGCATGATTTCTCAATTATTTCTTTAAGAGCAAGCGCAAATATTCGGTCTGGGGTTACGTCACCTTAAAGAATCAAGGGAAAAACGGTACGCTTACTCTTCTAAAATAACAACTTTCCGCCCATTCAGATGCAGCACCTCCGAAAGGGCCCGTCATGGTCACGAAACACGTCTTGGAATATCCCGCATATCAGATATGCACACTTGATGAGTTAAACACACCGGTGGATGCCTTATTGGAAGGAGTTTTAATTATGTCCTAAGTCAAACGCTGACTATTGAAAGACGATAAATTTTAGTGTTTTCATTGTAGCGAGGAGGCGAAATTTTAACAAAACAGGAATTTCGGAAAAATGTTTGCACGCGTAAGACAACTAAAAGGGCATTTCTAAAGATTATAGCTACTTGAAAGGCCCGTTTTAGTCAAGAAGTTATCATTTCTAAATAGAGTTGAGTGAAGTATTTTGGGCACCGGCAGAAAAAACGATGTTCGGTAATATTTGTCTGGTCGGTCAATATATCCCGCTCAAGATTTATAAAAGAAGATGTAATGTTCAACATCAAGGAAGGTAACAAGTTCCGTTAGATTTAGAGTCCTTAAAGTTGCTTCTGGCTCTTATGACAACAGAAAATATGTCAATCCAAATAAACAGAACTGCAAACCTGCGAGCCGGCATATTTTATGATAAAACGCCTAATTCATACTGTCAAAGGGATAATTTTTTGTGCTTCCAATCGCAAGGAAGTTCACAGTACTTGATCTACTGCCCTCCACAAGTTAGCTTTTGTGAAAAACGTAGAATTTCCGCCAAAAATTTATTTTCACGTAATCGTTCGACCGACTTCGCCCGTTGTATGCTCCACAGCAGGGGGTTAGCAGCGACAGTGACCTGCGCATGAACTGGTTTATAGTAACGGTAGGTTTGCTCTGCATCTACTGCACTTCCCCTCCCCACCTCGGCCAGTGTCATGGCAGAATCGAAAAGCTCGGTGGCGGGAGAGAAAGCAGGTGGTTTGCACTGTGTATACCCGCACCTAGGCGTATCATCCCATCCCCTAGTCCACAAAGCACACTGACCAGGATTTTACACAAAAGCAAAAGGTAAGTTGGCCTGGACCTCACACTAGGTAGGAGTGCTACAGAGGTCACATTAAGCAGGAGCCCTTGTGGCCTGACTCCTCGTTCAACAGCCCGCCATTCCATAAAAACACGCACTGAACTGACTACGAGATTCATGTTATCCCGTCAAATGGCAACCTTCCAAGTCAAGGCTTCTAGCGCACTGTGATAACTTCAAGCGCGTCATATAGTTTTTGCTGAGTCGTCGAGCTCTCTGTCTATTTCCATTCACAGGCCTCCGTTGCTCTTCAAGCCCGTCAGTCGTCTGGTGCAGGGAATAGGCGCAGTGGCTGACATAGCTAGTGACCTCGCCTACGTGTGCCACACACACGACCTGTCCCCCAAACACCAAAATTTCCCCAAAAATAGGGCGGACGGCATGAATCTCAACAGCAAGAGAGTCCCAGAGGAGCCACTGCACCCTGTCTCTCAGTTCATCAGTCTGCTACTCCACACAAACGCATACTCAGTTGACTGGGAGGTCTGACTTCCATCGTCAGTTGGCAACCTTAGCACACTAATAGTCTTAGATTCGGATCACACATGTAGCATAGGAGCCACATGTAGAAGGAGCTCAGAAGCATACTTTCCGTTTAAGTGAAAAGTGTCAGCTACGTACTTGAGTTGTGTGATTCTGGGTAATGCTGATGTGTGTTGTAGATTCTATTGAGAAGAGATATGATTATTGTTAATAGAAGCAAAGAGACGAGTCCCAGGAAGTAGTCTTGAAGAAGGAGACACCCTCTACGTGTTCGCAGATCCGGTTTCTGCACAGGTGTCTCGTCAATAATGTGGTACCGAAATGTGTTTCATACAAGCCACCGGTAAACACGGATTTGGCGAGACGAGCAGCATTTCAGCATGGCAGAAGGATGATCCAAGTGCTCCTCCAAGATTGCCACGCGAGACTTCGCAAGTACCGTCAAAGGATTGACCCAGAAAATACCAGATGCTGTGAGTTCATGGCGAGATCGGTACGAATCTGCTCCTGCGGAGGGTAGCTGAACAAGCCCGCCAACAGAGAATGCTACGCGACGCAGCACTGGCGAAAAAATTCCGAAAGTTGCCCAGAAACGGCAAACGGGTGCACAACCTGTCGTCAAAGGTGCTGACGAATGATCAGATGCAGGTGTTACGGCACTAAGCTTCATTTAACACGGCTGACGCCAAACCTGTTAACATGATTGCAGCAGTGGAATCAATCCTTTGTCGGACGGAGGCAACGGAAGAGACTAAGAGCCTCATCCGAAATCAAGTGCCGTCTCTCCTGATGGCCCATAGGCCGCGGGAAGTGCTTTCCAAGGTCGAACGTGATGCGCTTAGAGAACTAAAGGCCGACAAAGACCTGGTCATCGTGCCAGCGGACAAAGGACGCGCCACAGTTGTACTGGACAGAACAGACTACTTTCAAAAAGCCCAAGGTTTACTGGAGGGCCGACAGTTCTATGTCCCATGTGCAACGAACCCTTTAAAAGCGCTGACACGCGAAATTAATGCTACGTTTTTGGCCTTGGAAAACTCAGGTGCAATAACACCGGCCGATTGACGCATGGCGAGATCCCAAGGTACGACTTTGGGCCGATTCTATGGCCTCCCTAAGGTGCACAAAGACGGCGCTCCTCCCCGACCCATCGTGTCGCTCATAGAGACTCCAACGTACGGACTGGCTAAGTGCCTTTTCCGGCGTCTCAAGTTCCTGACCGCTGAGTCAGACACCACGGTCTCTTCGTCAGCACAATTCCTGGAGAATCTCAAAGGGGTAAGCCTCCATCCAAATGAGGTCACGGTATCTTTTGATGTTGCATCCCCTATTACTTCTATTCCCCAGGACCTGGCGATCGAGAAAATCGAGCTGCTAATACAAAGCAAATACGATGAAACCGAGAACCGTCTCGGACACGCCCAAGTTCCTCAACACCTGAAGCTCTGTCTCAGAACGTACTTCACGTTCAACGGGACAAACTACGAACAGGTGAAAGGCACACCAATGGGCTCGCCGATTTCGGGATTCATAGTCGAGGCGGTCCTGCAACGGTTAGAGTCGCTGGTCTTCCAACACCACAGACCGAAATTCTGGGCCCGGTATGTGGATGACACATTCGTCGTCATCGAAAGGGATCAGGTGTTGACATTCAAAGAACATCTCAACGCCGTCTTCCCGGACATTCAATTTACGGTGGAGGAGGAAGAGAACAACCAGCTGGCCTTCCTGGATGTCCTTGTATGCCGCAAGGATTGTGGTGGACTAAAAACCAAAGTGTTCAGGAAAGAGACAAATACGATGCAAGTACTGAACTTCAACAGTAACCACCCAATTAGCCACAAACGCAATTGTGTAAGGACGCTCTATCGGCGTGTCGAAACGCACTGCAGTGAGCCGGAAGACAAAATTTCCGAACTACAATACCTCCGACGGTTATTCAAAGCCAATGGCTACCCGCGCAACTTCGTCGACCGGTGCATACGCAAAAGAGACGAAAGGCCTAACCGCACGGACACCAAATCTTGGCGGGCGATTCCATATGTCAAGGACGTTTTGGAAGCTGTCGGCCGCCTACTCGCACCACTTGGGGTTGGAGTGGCACACAGACCGGAGGCAACCATCAGGCGTCTGGTCATAAAAACCGAAAGACCCACTGTCGCGGCTAGAAACGTCTGGAGTCGTTTATCGGATCTGGGGCAGTTGCGGACAAAGCAACTACGTCGGAGAAACCGGAAGACAGCTCCGAACGAGAATGGCTGAACACGCGGCAGCGGTGCGCAGAAATGACGCCAGCTCTCAATTTGCGGCTCATTCGACGAGATCCGGCCACACATTCGAATTCGATGAGGCCGAAATTCTCGCAAGAGGTGACAACCGCGTGAGTCGGGAGCTGCTTGAGTCATGGTTTACTGGCCCCCAGTCTATTAACAAGTGCAACGATCTTACCATTCCATACTCGGTGCTGAGACTTCGCCTAGGCGGAGTGACAAGCCATGCGGGAGCGCACACGCGAACACTATTCCCAACACCGAGGTCGGTGCGTCAGATGGTCGAGCAATCATTACACCAACATCCAACGCACGTGATGAAATTGCAGCTATTAACGACTCGAATGTCGGCCATCAAGCAATGATCACACCAAGTGCGACGATCTCGGATGAAGGGGGGAGCCGTGAATGTTCATAGGTATGCGGTAGCATGGCCAATGCATCCTATAAATACCGCAGCCGCTTGTGCATCAACCACCCGTTTCGTCTTTTGTCTCTGGTGATGGATTCGAGCAGGGATCCGAAACGTCAGGCTAATAAAGCTCTTGTCGCGGCGATCGTGTCTCCTTCTTCAGGATATGATTATATGGTATAGCCGGCAGTGTTCTATCGCAGGTTTCCATGAGTGCGCGTGTGACCGAGTTTTTTTCGCGCGGTAGCTGAATACGCGAGGGCAATGTGGCCAGTTTAGACGACGACTTCAGGCGTATTTTGGTGTTCCAGACACTGGTGCGCCGGTCGCCATGCGATAGATTCGCAAATGACCGACCAGGCCGATGCGCGAGGTGAGTGTGCGGTGACTGCGGGGCAGGATAGGTCGGGTGCTGCGTAGTCGGTTTTGGTGGCGGTGCTGTTGGCGTTACGCCCACTGAGAGATGAACAGTTGATTTGACTGGGAGTGGGAGAGTTTTCAGATGTTTGAGATGTGCTAGATGTGTCGATATTGTGGTGAATTCCATTGTCATGAGTGCGCGTGTGACAGAATAGGTCCATGCTGTGTTTGAAGTGCATTGACAGTGTGAACAGCAAAGGGAATTCGGCGAGTGTGTGTTGGTGCTCCAGGAACCGGTCCGCTAATCTCTGTGTTGTGGATTTGAAAATGACCGACCAGGCCGACGTGTGAGATGAATGTACGATCACAATGAGGACAGGTTGTGGCCATTTGCACGTCTCTGGGCGTGCGGGTCGTGATGGTGGAGGTATCGATGGTTGATGGGACGTAAAGAGCGTTTTGATCAGTGCGGGAATGGTAGGGGTGGTTGTGTTCGTAATCGCTTGATTAATTGCGGCGGAGATGATGAGGGGGACGATGATCGACGACGGTGGGGCAAAGGATTCGGAGCAGCGATGGTGGAGGTGAGCGCCGTCGTGGTCGGCGTGAGGTTAGAGCAGGGATGATCATGGGGGCAGTAGTGCAGTTGTCGAGCGACTGGTGCTTTGGGTTTGAAGATGACTGAAGAGACCTAGCCGCTCGGCGAATGTTCCTTGACAGTGTGGGCATGTTAAGTGGGGTTGGGTGACAATTTTGCGGGTCGGGAGGACATGAGACCTGCGAGCTTCTCTTTTCGCGACCACTTTTGCACCACTTTTATTGCTTTTCTCCAGGCCGGTCTGTTCTGGGCGATGTCCTCTCAGGTTTTCGGGTAGAGCTGCAGTCACTCCAGAAATTTCCTCAGTGTGTACTTGTAGTGTCATATTTATTCTCCCTGTCGACGAGTACACATAACGACATCTCCGTAGAAGAATTGCTTTCATAGGCGGAAGTCATCCATTCTCTCTAGGTGGCCACACCACCGTAGTTGCAGTGGCCTTCGCATGGCGTGGATACTGAGGATTGTGGTCCGCTCTAGGACTTCCGTGACGGGGACCTGTCCTGCAACTGAGATGGAAGTAACTGGGCTTATTGGCATTGTTGGAGTAAACAGTCCGGGCCTTCTCTCCGTACAGAAGTATCGTCAGGACGACAGCCTTGTACATCTTCAGTTTGGTGTTCAGTTGAAAGCCACGATGATTCCACACATAGTTCTATAACCGACTGATGGCTCGGCAGGATTTGGAAATCCGGTTGGCTCCTTCGTCACCGATTCTTCTGCAGGAAAGCGCGCTTCCTAGGTGAGTGAAGTTGTCCACGGTTTTGAATTGTTTGCCGTCGCTATGGATTCTAGGAAGGGTGCTGTTTTGCGGGTTGGGTGACAGTTGGTGCATGACCACCGTTTTGACCGTGTTGATGGTCAGTCCGAAGTTGTTGCGTCAGGCGGCGAAGAGGTGCATGCTACGTTGCATGTCCTCTTCGGTCGTATGTTGAGCGCGCAGACGTCGACGAAGAGCAGATCGTGGACCGTGGTCATAGATACCCGCGTTGGATTCCTCATGCACGTGCTGTCGAATAGATGCCCGTCAGTTCTGCAGGAAATGCTTATCCCAGGGCACTCATCTCGGTAGGCATTCAGCAGAATGGCAGAGAACATGAGGCTGAAGAGGGGCATGCGAACGCAGCCTTACTTCATTCCACTGGTCACTACGAGTGCCTCGGAGATTGTTACTTTTTAAGTGACTCATCACCATCCCGTCGTGGATCTGACGTACCATCTCCGTGGATCGCTCATGAGAGCTGAATTTCTGCATGCTTTCCCAGTCCCTCGCGATCCACTTTGCTGAACACTTTCACGTTATCCATGAAGGTAGTGTTAGGTTCGTGTCTCCTGACACTTTTCCTGTAGCTGACGAACGGCAAAGACCATGTCGGCGTTCCCTCGGTGTCGTCGGAAGCCACATTGGCTTTTCGGTAGAAGTCCTCGCTCGGGGTGGCTGTTGAGACGACTGAAGAGAAGGCGAGAAGATCTTCCCGGCGATGTTTAGTAACGAGGTGCAGATGCCTCTGTGGATACCACATAGTTGCCGGCTCCCTTTGCGCTTGCATGGTGAACGATGGCCCAGAAGTCCTAGAAGGCCTGTCCCTGTCGCCGCATCCCTTCGAAGAACGTTATGAGGCGATACATCGGCCGGTGGCCGCTGTGCTTGCATACTTTGACTGGAATCTCATCAGAGCCTGGTCTTTTCCCACTGGAGAGTTGTATTACTGCGCGGATGGTTTCTGGAAGGAAGAGCTGGAGATCCAGGTCGATGTTGACTTCCGTTTGAGGGAGCAGATCGATGGGGGGGTCGGAGATTGTGGAGGAGCGGCTAAAGAAGTTTCAGGAGTGCTCGGCCTAGCGCTCCAGAATCTTCGACTTCTCTATCGGAAGCTCTGAGCCGTCGGAACTGAGAGGCAGTGCAGTTGCTTTGGCAAGGCGCCTTAAATACGGCTAAGAAGTTCTTTGTTTCTCTGATACCAGCATACCCCTGGATTTCCTCGGCCTTCCAAGCCATCCATGTGTCCCGCATTACTCGCAACCGTTGCTGCACGAGGCGACGACATTGGTGAAAGGCAGTTTTGTTTGCACTGGTCGGGCAGTAAGTGTGGGCTCTGTGCAGCCTGTTCTTTTCGGCGAGCAGGTTTCCGAGAGCTGAGCTTTTCGGCGAACCAGTCCTGGTGCTGATGACGTACACGACCGAGGACACCCAGGGCGTCCTCGTGGTTGGCACCACCGAGTCTCCACGGAGGCGTCTACATCTGGAGCTAGCGCGTCCTCCAGGCGACGGGTTAGTTAATTTCTGAAATGCAGACGGTTAGCAGGGAGTATCAACAAATCAATATTTAACTTACCTGGTGGTCGCTTGCCTTGTGTCACCCTGCAGAGTTGTTGTCGGAGCCTCCTTATGGAGCTGTAGAGGCGGTAGTCCTTCTAACCATCGGCGTCACATATTACCCTGGCCACCAGAAAGTCCTGTCGACCTCGCCTCCGAAGGTGGACATAGTCCAGCAGCTGCCAGCACCGCGACTGGGGTGCATCTACACTGCCTTCACCCGCGCCGGGAGGCAGAAAAAGGCGGTGGTTAGCAGGAGGTGGTTTTTGGCGCAGATTCGCAGGGGAAGGTGGCCGTGTTCGTTACAGCCGCCGAGTCTATGGGGACCCAGTGCTGCCCTCCAGACATCATGGTTTTGCCACGTGGGCATCGAAACTATCAAGGACAACCAGCCTATCCGCCTTCGGCAAAGACGCCAGGAGGGCGTGCAGATCCTCGTAGAATTTGTCTTTTGCCTCGTCAGAGCTGTCATTGGGGCGGCGCAATCGCTGATGATAGGGGATGAACTTGGATTCCCGAAGAGGCAGACGCAGGGTAATCAGTCGGTCGTTGATACCCTACAGCAGACAGGGAAGTAGTCCGACGATGTTGTTTCAGAGAACAAAAGCGACGCCTGTGTCGAGTCGCCCTGCCTTTGGATGGCCGCTACAGAAGGTGTGGCCGGCACTTCTTCCTCCAGGTGGTCCTGTTCAGAGAGGCAGGTCTTGCTGAGGGCGACAATGTCTACGTTGTGGCGCGTCAGTTCTTGCACAATTAGCATCGTCCCTCGTTCCGGTCGGTGGCTTCTCGGATCGTCTAAAAGGGCACGAAAATTTCAGGCTGCCGGAATGAGCGGACTCACCCTAGCAGCCTGTGGAATGGGGCGGAAGAAAGCGGAGCGAGAATGGTTGTTGTTCGTTGTAGTGCTTCGAACGCGAGTTTTGCATCTACGAGTCACACTGTATTGGCAGATGGTGTGATTCCCGAGCACTTGTTTAAGGCGTCTTTTAGCCCCTTTCCCAACAGGGTGTAAGCCATGCTATTCTTAAATAAGGTTGCTCAGACATCCCAGACGGCTATCGAGCTCCACTATGAATGACGACATTGTTTAATGGAGAGTGATCCGAGTTAACCTGGACAGCCTACGAGATTGCACTTCGCCCTCTCCGTAGGACTTTTCGAAGTGGGAAGTTGGGGAGCGATGGAACAGGAAGCAGAGTTACGGGGTGTGGGGGTCGCACAACACCGGACACCGTCACTTGGTTTAACTGGCCGGTTGACGTGGTAACCAGGATGTAGCCGCAAGGCGAGGCCTAGTTTTAAGGAGCCATATGTGAGAGATGAGGGCCAATTAATAGACGCTAGATGTAGTCAACATTTGGAGGAACAGGTGAAGCAACCTACCAAGACCTTCACATGGGCCCAAAACTGTACACCCCTAAATATCTTCAATATCCCAAATTTCCAAGTTAGTTTTCCTGAATATTTTAGCAGGGTTTCCCCTTAAAACTTAAAACGAAACTGTTTAACGTTTTTCTCTTCTTCCTATACATCAGATCGGTCTAATTAGAAGGTAAGAAATATATTTTTTTTTAATTTTCCATGTGACCTTGAGGCTTTTACGCCCCATGCATTTCTTTCATTTCCCGCTTCCTGATACCGTATACAGTTAAATTGGGACCACAAAGTTGCAAAATGCAAAAAGAAATCGTATTTCACATATTTTTGCTTAATTCTTCTTCAACTCATTGGTCCTGTTAGTTAATGATCTTTTCCACGGCTAAACATTAAGTCTGTCATACAAACTGACTGTGCTCCTGATATAGAACAACTGCTCCACTTAGGATGGTATACCTTAACTGGCGACGTACGTTTAACTATTTTAAACGTTAGTTGGCCGAAGCTGTTAGAGCGCCTAGCCGTAGCAGCGCATAGGTATTTGCGTTGGCGTGATAGCGCTTAGTCATCTAACAAAACAAAATGTCGGCTGATGGAAAGTACATTCATATGTTTACTTTTTCAACCTATTGCGCCTAACTGGCCAAATTACGAAGGCTAGATTTTCCTAATGCAGCGGTACCTAGCTTTTGACGGCCTTTTTCGCTTAAAGCTCTTGCGCAACTTCTTAGTAGAGAATTGTGACTCCAAATTAGACGAAAAATTGGTCCCTTTTGATAAGGTAAGTCGGTCTTCTATACAACTTACATCATCATTCCATCCACCGAGATTTAATAAGGAGCAGTCTCACGCTGTCGAGTATCTAAGCCAATCTTCCGAGATATTGCAATGTCAGATGTCTGTTTTCCTCGATTCATTTATCGTGAGCGTTTTGCTTGCCCAGGAAAAAGATTACATTACGGGCGGACGTGAAGGTTCAAGATGACAGAAAGAACCGTAGTAAACGCTGACGCTTCATTCATTTATGCAACTGTTCTGCTCAAAATGGCACACGTATTATAACACCCGTTTCATAGGGTGTGTGGACAGGGCTGCTTGTAGTATATGATAAGAAAAACTTGAGACAGGGTGAATAATACTCGCAGTATAGGCGCACGCTCTACGGGTAATGAAGTTCAACTGACGTAAAAAGTGACGTAAAATCGCATTATTGTGAATTTCTACTCAGTAAAATGGCCCTTTCTTCCTTCCAGTTTCGAAAACTGTCCTTGAATCTGAGTGACCCATACTCTATTAAAACGTATTTTGGAAGGATTAATATGAAGACCGTCCTGAGATGATAGCATCTCCAGAAGAAATGCGAGCATGGGCGGGCAAAATTTAAAACACGTTAGACATAATCGTAAAAACGTACATCTCCCTTCGCTTCTTCAGATGAGTATGGATTCAAACTCAGAGTTTTCATTTTAATAATTGACACCTTTTATTACAATATGAAGAACAAAGTATCCTTGCAGCCTTTAATTTATTAAAAAGGTATGTATAATGTTGTGTATATATAAGCAAACTCAGTCCAGTCACAAGCAAGACAGTAAAGCCACCACTGCTACCAAAAAACTATGGATTTACAGGGGATTTTGGAAAAACCATATCAACCAATAGTCTTAAACGAGATCAAGTTTAAAATTTGCAGTTTTCCCACGAAATTTTGAAGTATAAAATATGCTTCTCTTCTAAAAGGTACTTGACGGAACTAACGGTCTCCGACTGGTACAGGGACATAATTAAAACTGAAATTCAGGAGATTTTAGTGATTGCATGTATGTTTGAGTTGGCATGCTGGAAGAAAAGCCGTTATTTAAATGGCTGATCTAACTACGGCACCAAATCAGAACATGCAATTTTCACTTTGCAAAGTGGAGTTTTGTCATGAAGGTTATCTTATTTATTTGTCTGTCCTGGGGTTGCTCAAGTGAACGTGTACATGTTCAAGTATCTATAGATACTGGTCATCCCAGACAGCGGTGGTTATGGCTGCTTACGAGAGACCCAACGTTACTGTTGGATTTCAATTCCCAAGGCAAGAACAACGGACTTCAAATGTCGCACACTTCTTGCAGGTGCGTCCGCCATAGCCGACGTTCGTTCTCTTATCATAGTGGCTAATCGAATACGCGAGTTTGGAAGACGCAGACCTCAGGGAAATCCTTCCTTATAGGACATTTCGAATAAAAAGACGTATGTCACTGTATGATGCCGCTTCATGCATCTATGAAAGGTTTTCAAGCGGCAAGCTATTTTATAAACAACCAGGTCATTCTACTTGTCACTTACCAGATCTTGACCTCAATTTTTATATCTACTGATTTCACGAACAGTAAATAAATGGTGTACTACATTTTTAGGGTGGTTCCCGCACTCTATCCTCATGAGTGTCCACATCCAGGGGCGTCTCCAGAAGATATATAAGCAAAATGATCTTGTATATGTATTTGCGCACAAGGCTTTTGCGTGATTATTAAACTTCGATCGATATATTTCATTTTAGAATTTTGCAGTCACTAAATTAATGATCGCATTTCGAATTCCGTAAGGCAAGTATTATTAAGAAATCCATTTGTCAAACAGGCATACGAGAAATGAATGGTTTGTTTCCATCTATATAGATTTGCTCATGGTCCACAACCTACGCATGAAACATCAAATTGAAAACCTGGTCCAACTGGTCGTTCAGCAGTATGCCAAACAAAACGGCAACTGGCTTCAGAATGTCCTCTTTTACAAATAATTTAGAAGTTTCAGCATGGTCACACGCGAATGCCATCAGGGGAAGTTCAGTATAAATATAGTAGGAGGCATGTTTTAATTTTCGTGAAGATTATATTCTGAAATATTTAATTTATATTACTTCACTGGTTAATTATTTTGGATTTAAATTTGGGCTCCTTGTTTTCCGACATTTTTGCATATATTGTGCCTATTCTGATGCTGCATAAATGTTCTGGGTGTTTTATCTGTTAAACTTTTCACCTTCATAAATATTCATTAAACTTCACAGACAGACCCATTGCAGCGCGTCAGGCTTAAAATCTTCTGCGCCCGCCAAAAATAGGACAACATGAGCGAAGCCTTAGACAGACCTTCTGATAGAAACGATTATCTAGTCAATACTCGCAAAATGATTGACATTAACATATTCCTAGTCAGATGCCGCATGGCGGATGTTAGTTTTCGACTTAAAGGTTTTTCATCTCATTTTTCTAAAAATAATGGGCGAAAGTCACGCCAAGTTTATTGAATTGGTTAACGTAATTTTCTGGGTAAACTTTGTCACCAAGCTTCGAAGACTGAATGTAAAAATATTTAATATATTTAACTATGAGAACGCCGGGGCTTTAAAATTTGTATCCGAACGAAAGACTAGTTCGATCATGATAAAGTGCTCGATTATTGGAATTTAGAATTAACATGAACTTGGGTGTTCGCATGCATACTAATTCCTTATTTTAAAATCCGGGTATATTACACTCTATCCTTTCAAATATCAATGTAAGAGAAAGGATACTCTTTCGCAAACTGGATATGGAAATATTTTTTGCGTTAGTTCCATATGAAGTGTACCCTTGATATAGATTATTAAATGCCAAGGAAAAAGTCATTTAAGTAACACTTGTTTCGAGTTGACTTTCATAGACGCGTTAACAAAAGCTAGTATGTAACCAGGTGAGGATCAACTTAAGCTTATATACTGACAGCCTAAAATTTATTTTTCACAAATGTCAAGTGCGCCTATAACTGATAGTTTTATTCCTTCCCGATCGTGTATGCATATCACAAACTATCCAAATTGGATAAGTTAATTTTCCATAAAATTGA